TGGGAGACGAAGAGAGATGTTTTGAGTTGGAAGAAAGACGGCAAACGTTTATGACATTGAAAGGCCAACAATTCAGGCATTTCTCAATCAGGCAAAGCGTACCGGGTTAAGCTCCGGATAACGGGACGCACGGACAGTCCAATTGGCATTCTACAACACGGCAGGGTTAGGGTTCCCTATATGCTTCATTCATTGTCTTCCTCTCGTCTCATTCTCCATCGCCCGTTTAGAGTCTACACATGTACCGGCATCGAACCTAGTACTCCTTAAAAATAACATGCCACATATCCATCTCCCTCCTCAACACCCTGATCAACCCAATCTTGTCCGGGATCGAACCGAGCTCCTTCCCCTCCATGTGCTTCTCCTTACTATCCCAGCCCACAACAAGCGTGACGGCAGGTCCCTTGTCCCCTCTCTCCTCTTTACTAATATCCTCGGTCGAGACGCCCACAACGGACCCGTGGAAGCCGGAGCCCTCTCTGTCTTTCAGGTCTGAAATGATGACGTCGTTGAACCCGCGCATGTTCTTCTCGTACCCAGGCTCGGCGCCGTAGCCGGTCGCCACCTCCGTCGTGCCGGCTGTGAAGACGGGGAGCAGGCTGTCGGCCGGGGAGAACTTGAAGGTGCGCAGGGAGGCGGAGGTGGAGAATGAGGAGAGCTTGGGGGAGGATGAGGGGGTGAAGACCTTGGAGGCCTCGAGGGAGGGGTAGACTGCGGTTTGTTAGTTTGTGGTTGAGGTAAGAGGGACAAGGTAAGGTGAGCAAGGAGGAACAGTAAGCTTAAAACTCACCAAAGACCAATACGCCAATGTCGGGGTTCTCCAGCTGATGACCGAAGAAGGCGCGGTTATTCTTGTCGGCCTTCTTCACGACGGAGATGACATCGAGCAAGGCGTCGCCGCCGGGACTGCCTACCTCGTCGAGGTGAGCGTCGGGCTTGAGCTTGAGGAGGGTGAACTGGACGACTGCGGTGGAAGACATGGTTCGTGATGTTGGGGGTGAGAGTTGCTATGGGTCTGTGAGTTCAAGGAGTGCTTGAATAAGAGAAGGAGCAGTTATATGATATGAGGTGAATGTGATCGGTCGTCGCTGAGTGAGATCCGAGGGTCAAAGTAAATCCAACTGTTTACTTGAGCTGTCTTATCCCCTCTTGGTTGTGGACGTTAGAAAGCATCATGCATCAACAGGCTTAAGATCGGCCAAGCACGAGCGGACCGGGACGAGATGTGGGGTTAACCCCGACGTCATATCGTCGGCAATAGTACATCTGCCACGCCAGGTCCGCCCGGTCGGAAACATCACGACCAGGAGACAGTACCCGTAGTAGGACTTCGCATGTTAACGTGGTAATATGACGATCGTCGTCTCGTCACCTAATCGTGTGTTCGTCCAGTCACGGATCTGGGTACCGCGCTAACATGCGTAATCCTACAACAGGTGTAGAATCAGAAATTGGGAGGCATAACGGCCAGGCTTGAATTTGAGGGTGTCCAGCTAATCCTGAAGGGCGAGCCAAACACAAACTTCCCCACCTGTAACCCCCCGGATTGACAAACAGACCCCCGCGGTTCCAATCCACGAGATCGAATACTGGGCTTTGGGAGCCGCACGACAAGTAGCGTGAACAGACTCCCAGGAGACGCGACCAGCCCAACCCAATGTCCTAAAGACATCCACATACAAGCGTTGTACCCGCGACCGAGTGGATCACCCGACGCCGAACCAACAAGTGGTCCGGAGCGGGCGCTGCGGCGTGTCGCGGGTCAGATCCTCCTCGGCCTAGTCCGAGATGCTGGCTCCGGAGCAAAGTAGCCTCTGCCGCGAACATGACCCCCCCAAATGCGTTGTCTTTGGCGGTAGGAGGAGGGTCATGCTGGGTGCTCCCTTGATGGGAAACAACCACCTGGCATATCGCCCTTACTATCGCGCTTACTCTCCTTCAGAAAAGACCCCGCCTTGTATGCTCCAGGCAGATCTAATATCCTGTCGAGTGAAAGACCGCGCAAGCGATCCGAATGCGGTTGACCTTTCTCCCGACCGAACATGACTACCGCGTACCACGGTACGGACTCGACTGTCGATACCGTGGCTGATGATATCCGATCTAACCAATCTAGGCGCCACAACCGACGTGAGGTCGAGAGGTATGGCCGCTATTCCGCGACCAATACCCCGGTGCCCCCGGGCTTCCCATCAGGTAGTGCCCAGAGACCACAGTTTTTGTGAAGCCGTCGGTTGCGAGTCGACGGCTTCGACAAAGGACCCTTCACGAACAAATAGCGACACTGATGTGCGGCTATATGCTCCAGGTCCCTTTGCTTCACAATGCTTTTCTGCTTCACAGTGCTTTTCGCTTTTCCACCATAAGGTGCCTCTTCTGACTTTTCGACGCTTGAAGCTCTTCGGTGCTGGAGACCTCCGAACTTCAGGGCAATCCTCCGAACCATTCCCGGACTCCCAAGCCGGGGATACGGCCGACAACTCTTGCCATCGAGTCGGCAACAGCGTCCCTTTTTCGCATGCCCGGACAGAACAATCCGCAGGATTCGTTCCTCCTGGATAAGTCCCGGACTCCCAAGTCGGGGATACGGCGGGCCACATGCAGTGACCGCTACACCCCTTTTTTGCCTGCCCAGACGGACAAATTCCGGAGGAGTAGGCAGTTTTACGTCATACCCAGGAGCAAGGTAGGCCTTTTCAAGTCATGCCCAGGACAACAGCAATAGCAGCCGGCCGTTAACCTGTGAGATGTTAGTGAGTTGATCAAGTTGGTAAGGTGCACGAGTAGACCTACGCGTTGCTGGAGGGAGACATGCCCCAACCCAAAAGCAGAAATGCAAAAACCTGCGCGCCACATACAGTGAACCACTTTTCGACTGCTGATTTTTTGCTGCACTCTTCGCAGAGCGGCCATGACCCAGATTTGACCGTTGAACTTTTCTGCTGGAGTCATCCAGGCTCAGGATCCGTCTAACCGTGTCGTCAAGACAAACAATGCAGACCGAATCATTACATATCCAAACCGCGACGATCGTAACGTAACCGAACCGATAGCATGCCGCGATACACAGCACTCGTAAATCGTCAAGTACCTCCAGGGCCAGGACGCCACTGAAAGGAAACCGTCTAGATGCTTTTACTGTCAGAATGTCAGTCAGCTGCCGGATCGGACGAACCGTAGGTTTGAGGAATGGAGTGTACTCACCATTTGGACGCCGTAAGACGCGCAACCAGTTTTCTTGTAACCGCATCGTATGCTTCGTGAGAAAGTCATGAACACATGTACGACTTTAACCACGTCTTTCGCTGGTCCAACGGACCGAGCGACCACAGTAGACCTTTTAGCGTCATGTCAAGGACAACCACAATTGCGAAAACCACAATATAGTGCTGCCCGAAACATAGCAGCACGGGCCTTTTAATGTCCTGCCCAGGACCAGCGGGATGCAGTTCAACGACAACAGAGCAACCAAAGAGGGCCTTGTAGTGTCATGCCCGAGACCAACGTGTTGTCGGTACATCCGAGCAACCAGCGTGGGCCTTTTTACGTCCTGCCCAGGACCAGTCGATCACCCCTGTGTCGGCATCGTTGATAGATGGTATGGACCACTCGTGGCTGGCAACCACGTGAGGACATGGCACCGTATGTGATGGAAGGAAGCATCTCTTCGTCGTATATCTGGCGGTAGGTGTGATCAGCCGACGGATTTGCTGGTCTGACGATAGCCTGATCCGACATCTGACTGATGCGAGATACTAGTGTACAACGGAAGTCAGCCTCGAGGACTCGAAGCTAGTTACGTGGCAATGTGTGCAAGTAGTCATGCAGGAGCTGATGGGCGAGGCAACATACCGTCAATGAAGACTACCACTGACCGAGTCTTTCACGGCGAGGAACCACAGGGTGTATCACTCCATGCCCGAGCTGGAGGATATGCGAGCCTCACAGCTCCAGAGAGACCGGAGGATCCGAGATTGGTTTCTCGAGGTAGAATAGGAGAGGACTGGATAATCCAGCCTGTCGAGGCTGGTGTCAAGTGACGTCCATGATGAAGTGCTGACAGCTTGTCCAGACTGTGAAACTCACGAGTCCGTTGAAGTTGTGGAAATGCAATGGGCATCCGGCTTCCGGGGATCAACCTCCCTTTTGTTTCGCGCTAAACTGGTCCGTGCCCAGGCCCCCGAGTGCCGACGAGCGGGCTCGCGAGCTATCAATGTACTAGGTCTAGCGGGCCTTGGCAACCTGCAACCGAGACATCCAACAGTTCGGACGCTGGGAGCAGCAGCCTGGACAGCAAGCGCAAGAGCAACATTCATGGCAGATCTCCCGACATGTCTACTTCTTGCTGTATACGCCCTGGCCAGATTATGCATGTTGCGCGGTTAACTGAACACACGATCCGACGACTTGACGGCAAGGCAACAGTGGCCTGGACTTGGGTACCGCAAAGGAGTTGCCCTGTGGAAGCGACAAGGCCATATCTTTTGAGCTGGTGTCACTTATATCGGATACTGGGTGCCTCCTACTTGTTGTCGACAAGTAACACAGCGGCACGAAGCTGTTCGCTGATGCCGTCACCCGGTCGGTCATCGTCCTGAGCCAAGCCCACCTCCCAGCCGCGAGGTTTCTGCAGCATCACTGGCCTTCGATTATGGCAGCACTGAACGGGCGGTTGTGGCGTCTGGTGGAGGGTTTGACTCTGGAACATACCTCGACGAGCATGCCAACACTTTCGCCAGGGCCCTGCTGTCGTCGCATGCTCAACAGTTGATAATGCACCTCTCACACAGTGTGGGATAACATTGAGGGCCACGCGCGCTTCCGAAGGCTCAATGGTCTAGTCGTATGATTCCTGCTTTGGGTGTTCACGCATTGTAGGAGAAGTCACGCGTTTGCAAGGCAAACGCGCTCCCATAGCACCTTTGCGAAAAGAGGGAACGGGAGAAGGGAGCAAAAAGGTAAGAAATCTGGCAAGCAAAAAAGGCAAAAAAAAAGTTGGGCTCAACCGGGATTTGAACCCGGGACCTCCTGCAGTTGTGAATAACCCAAAGCAGGAATCATACGACTAGACCATTGAGCCTTTTGCAGCAACCTGTGAGACTCTGAGATTGAGAGACCGATTTCGGATGCTGGTTGGAGCGGTAAGTTTCATCTAAGGACTGAGAGAGAAGCGAGGGGAAATGTGTAAATGAGACTGGTGGAGTCCAGAATTCGGAATCGGGTTGTGAGTCAAGCCAACCTCTGGGCCAAAGTCCGTTGGACCTTTCACTTTGTTCGCATTTTAGCACCATACTGCAGTCACGATTGGCCGATCAAGCGATTTGGCGACGAGACGAGGATGGACTCGTTATCAACACAGGCGCAATCTTACTGAACGGACACGTCCAGAACGACGAAATTTAGGGCGCAATAACTTCAAACCGGACCCGGACTTGCCACACATTCAGCATGCCGTATGTTTGTTTCATGGGCACACTACGACTGTTGTAGGATTGCGCATGTGAGTGCCGTACTTGAACGTCCGCTTGCACAATCATGCCATTAGGCGACGGGACAACGGTCAACTTCCAAGTTGTCACCACTTTGACCTGCGAAATCTTACCACATGTGGTAACAACAATGTACCTAGGTAAACCAGACCCAGCCCAAAGTCCATCAGGCTCACGACCGCAGGACGAAGTGATTTTGATACCAGCGTACCTAGTCACGCACATCCGAATTCTTGCATTGGCGACTTCGACACGCCGAGGCCTGCGTTTCCCGGGAGGCAGACTTGAACCTTATACCGCGCATGCAGTATGCAAGGCCTTCAGATAACAAGAGTCACCGGGAGCCACGTAGCGGGAGGGATTGTCACGATGAGGGTAGAAACATCGGCTCGAACTCTCGAACTCTCCCACTCCAAATTGCTCACCGGCCATTTCCTGCAAGGTTGGGACAATGGAGCAGTACGACATCCAGCATCCTCTCTTCGAGAGACTGGATTGGTACTCGGAGCTTTCAAGTCCCTTGAGCACAGCCGACAACGAACACTACACCGAGGAGAAGGAGAAGGCAACACGGCATGTCGACCTGTATCACAAGACAGACTCTGATGATGACACCGCGGAGATCTTGGATGCTTTCCTGGAGTATCTGCCCCAAGCCGGGCAGCTGAACCTGATATCAGAGATCTTGGAGATTTGCGAGCCGGACCAGGACAGGACAGAGTTGAAGACTCTGCGCAACTTCTTGGTGGATGCCGTGCTGAGGCCGAGTACGTCAACGAAACCCCGTCCATGCTTTGAGCCAGTCTAGTCTCTAACATCGACTACTCCAAGTGATGAGGAGGAAAGGCCGCGGTTGCAGATCACGAACCCCGTCGGTGTCGTCCGCCGCATCGTCGTTCAGCGGCAAAAGCGAGATCGGCGAACGACAGGAGCAGCTGAGACAGGAAGCCTTGCTACGCGACGGGGGCCGATGTGTCCTAACCGGGTTCTATGACCGAGAGAGTCTCAAACGCGACAACCGTGCCGTCCCTCGGGGTTGCTTCGCGTTGCGGACGCGCTGCGCCCACATTCTCCCGCTGTCGCTGAGGAAGTTCAATGAGAGAACCGGCATGCAGACCAGGAACATTGCAACCATATGGTGGGCGTTGCGGCGCTACTTTCCGAACACCGTCCCTAAAATAAACACGAGCGACCTGGAGGGCACGCTCAACCAGGTATCCAATACATTCACTGTCATTGGAGAAGTTCAGGGGATGTTCGACAACTTCGAGATCGCGTTCAGGGCCACCTCGGAGACCGACTTCGCGGTAGAATTGTTCCTCCGCGACGAGTACGACCGCCGCATCAACGAGGTTGTTCGTTACGGCACGAACAACACCGGCATCGCCGCTCCGGACCGTGACTTTCTCGACGTGCATCGCAGAGTCGGACAGATACTACGCGTGGGTGGGATTCGGATCAGCATCCTCTCTGGTAGTATCGATCGGAACACTCCGGGCTCGTGTCCGGACACGGGGGATACTGTTCGGCGTTGGCTGCTGAGCAGTGAATCACCAGATGTCAACCTGGTCGGCGTCTGAGCAGGAGTTTACATCTTAACGTGTAGTTTAGGATACACTAGCCCACAGCGAGTCTGATTCGGCCTATCAGGCAATCTCTAGTAGCAATATATTGTCCTCAAGTCCTTAAGTCGTCAAACCCTTGTATTATAAGGTCGTCAGGTCGTCAGGTCGTTGGGTCGTCAAGTCCCGTTCTGAGGCACAGCGGACCATTACAAAAACAAAACAAAAAGATTTTACTACCGTCGTGCTCCTTTAAGCAGAGACAACAAGAGGGTGTCAATTGCGTCAGGCACTTCCTACAAGAAAACCATATAACGACATTTGAAGCCGCAGCTACTTCCCCAGGACTTCGGACTGACTATGAATCCAGCATGCAGAACAGGAACTTTGGTTTGATCTCCCTTGTCATTACACAAGTGAGAGTTTACTTCCATGCTAGGCCAAGTGGTGCTTGAACAGAGGTGGTATTGCTCTCTGAGACTATCCCTCTGTGAGGTATAGTACAGGTCCGTCGCTCGTTTCTCGCTTGATGGTTGCAAAGCCTTGGCCTAGGCTCCCTGATGACAGTTCCTTAGTTGCCAGTTACATAGGCCGCAGCCTTGGACTCCCGTTGACAACCAGTTCCAACGGCAGGTATGTACAGGGCCATCTCAGTTGCCCTTCCTAACAGACTTCCCAGCGAACTCAAACGACTTGACGATGTAGTGCTTATGGCCAATAGGCCAGGGCACGAAGGTACCCTCCTCGAGCTGCCGCATGATTTTGAGGCCTTGCCTGGATTCTCCACCTGGACGGGCCCTCGTGAGGTAGGCCAGCAAAGCCATCAGCTGACTGTCCGGCACCCGGCTGTGCTTCAGCGGAAAGAACTTCCGTGGTATACTTGCAATAGAGCCTTAAATCCGTCTCCGATTTGAAGAGGGCGACTTCATCGCGCTGGACGAGGAAGTCGACAAGGTTGACCCAGACTGGAATGAGAGCCTATGGGCGTCAGGTCAGTGTACATGCGGCGTACTGCTTTACCACTGGAGGGACTTACCCTCTTGCATTCAGCCAGGGTGTTGTACTCTCCCTGGAGCCTGACGTCGTGGGCGAAACGCTGCAAATCCTCGAGTGCGTCCGCGCCGATGTACACGTTCCAGGCCCAGATGATGTCGTCGGGGTATACTTGCGCTTCGGTAGTTTCCAGATAGGACGACCGTGTGATGAGGTTGATTTGGTTGATTGGGGAGAGGTTGTGAAGTCGAGTCGGACGGGAACCGTGGAGTAGTCGTCCGCTGGAGGACGACGTGAGGGACTGTGATGAGAAAGTTGAAAGAAATAAACGTCCAGAAGGCAGAGAAGAGTACGCGGCCAATCAGATGCAGTTGAGCCCAATGGTTTCTCTGACCTCTGGGCCGGTGATCGTAGGATGAGAGGATAGGGATAATAGATTAACAACTGGCAGGTTGACGCGAGGGAGGATGAGAGAACGGAGATCTTTGATTAACAGGTGGTAGGTTACTCAGGGCGCGAGAGGGTTGAGAAGAGACGGCCGAAAGCAGAGAAGTAGGGTAGGTGGCAAGGTACCTTAGAGAAGAGCTTGAGAAGAAATGAGGATCCAATGACGGGAGGCTGCCCAGAAGAGGCAGTCGATAAAAGGCTGTTGAAGACAAGCAATCGTCGAGGAAAGACAAATGTTGAGGAGAGACGGGCGTTGGACAAAGGTAAAAGGAGGCAAGTAAACATCGTTCAGTTGAAAAAGCATCACTCAGGCTACCCTATACGTCGAGACACCCCTTATATAACACGGTCTAAAGCACTCAAGAAGAGAACAACCTACTTCGACCAGAAAACTAGCGACGCCTCGACGGAACGAAAGAGAGTATGGAAACATGATTTGACACCTGCACGATCGCACGATCAGGGGATGGCAATAAGGTACATATGCAGTACTTAACCCTTGAACCCCCAAAGCTCATGCAGCATACGTTAACCAACGGTCCCCAACAACCATAAGACGCCGTCCGTTACCCCCTCAAAAACCATAATCCAAGGTTAAGTATCCATATCCCCCAACTCAAACCACATCTACCTCACGAACAGGCCTCCGACTCCCATAGCTCGCCGGCGGCGGCACAAAAGCGTACTCCTAGGCTTGCTCTTCTCCTTCTCCCTCCTGAGCCGTCTCGCCGCATGGTTCTGCCAAGCATCATACTCTCTATTCCCCATCAAGAGCCTGAGCGGGCTGTTCTTCTCGATCTTGTCCCTGGGGTACACCTTGTGCGTAGCCTTTGTGTACGCAGCCAGATCGCGCTCTGTGGGGAAGTGCGTCACGGACTGCTTGGGGTGGGCTTGTAAGAAGTCGTGGATGTTGATCCATATGTCTTTCATTGCCTGGTGTGGTTGTTAGTATATCGTGTTTGTGTTGGAGGAGCTGGAGGACAAACCTCTCTGCACCCGTCCTTGGTTTTCAACTGGCCGTGTATGCCGAGGTCTTGACATAGACGCTGCCAGTCTTCGAGGTTACCCTGGCCCCAGTACTGGTTCCATTCCTTGACGACGTCGAAGTCGTCCGTCTTGGGCTTGGATCGGGACTTGTTCTTGTATTTCCTTGCTGGCTTGGTTGAAGGCTTGATTTCTGTTGTGGCCGTCGGGTTGGCGGGCAGGTTGACAGCATGCTCGACCGTTGGCACGACGGCCAGCTTCCCAGGAGACATTGCGGAAGACTTGACGTCGGAAATGGGGGTCGGCTTGGTCTTCGTTGCTGCGGTTGAAGGCTTGTTCTCCTTGACATCGGCAGGCTTGTGCTTGGAAGCAGAGGTTCTCTTGATGGAAGGCTTGCCTTCAGGGGCGGGCTTGTTCGCAGTAGCAGGCTTATCCTCGGTAGGAGGCTCGTTCTCCTTGTTGGCCGTACGCTCGCTCTCGGTAGCAGGCTTCTTCCGACTGTGCCTCTTCCTGCGGCGAGGCTTGCCTTTGGTGAGCTTGCCGTCTTCATTCGGCAGCTGGATCTCGGACAACACGGCGGTCTCGACAGCCTCAGAGCTACCGGC